AATAAAGCATACAGCATTGATTGCTGTGTTTTTGTTAGATTTTCCAGACTGTATTGTAAATGGTACAAAGAATAGTAGATACATTTGAGGAACAAAGATTTGTTTATTAAACAGTAAAACAGTATCTAATGAGGAAGTTGAAAAAAAAAGAAATGAAATGCCCAAACGGAGATAAACAGTTAATAAAGTACAATGTCATAAAATGTGACTGGGAGCTGAGAAATTCTCATACATAAATAAAATGAATGATAATTAAAAAAGTATGGGAAGGGATAGAGGGAAATGGGAGAGTAAGTACAAAGAAAAAAGAGAGAGGGGGTAAAGTTCAAAGAGATATTCTTGGGAAATATGAAGAATTAGGGGATATAAAAATATATATACTGAATATATTGTCACGCATACATCCTCTCCATATGCCATACACAACATAAATCACCTTCCCAGGAATAGGAGAAGTGCTGCTCAGCGGTCCTATGCCATATAGCCGGGCTTTTGCTACATGCCAGTGGACGCCGGACGCTGTGGATCCACACTGTTATGTACCCCTACGTCTGTCCACGGTGATAGCAACGTCGACATGTGGTGACGTCATGCAGATGATGTGTGCGCACGTTTCGGGGTCAAAGGCCAAATACAGCCAATCGGATTGACGCGCGCACACATTTTGGGATCAAAGGCCAGATACAGCCAATCGGATTCACATGAGGGATATTTAAACTCACTCATTTCTCCTACTCATTGCCCTGTCGTTGTTTCCCTTTGCTGGTTATCCGGGAGTGTGTTCCTGATCGTGTTTCTTTGATTATTGACTTTGGCTTCGTTTTGACTTCCCTGATTTTTGGTATCCCTGACTATTGGCTATTCCTTACAACTGTGTTTTGTTCTGTGTCCCTGACCTCGGCTAGTATTTCGCCTACTCTCTGGTACATTAAGTCCAGCCATTCTAAGGTCCGGTAAGATGCTATCCTTATTCCTAAGTGTGATACTAATACTACGTGTTGGATCAATTGCAATCTTGACATATATTCTGAGTTTGATACAAGTGCTCATAGTTCCGAAAATGCCATTTGTTCATTTGGTTACTTGTTCTTCTTTTTAAATTACACAAACAGTGTAATACAAAAGGGCGAATGAATGAACAAACTAATGGCTCATGGAAGAATTTCGTTGGGCGCCTATTTGTTTGTTCGTCTATCCATTCGTTATTTGGTATTCGTACGAATGTACGAAAATTATGATTTTCATTAGAAAATCTATTCGTACGAATACGAAGGTCCTAGTCTAGTTCCAATGTATGAAGCAGTGTATATATGAATAAATGGATAACATTGAAACAAGAGTTCATATTAGAACAGAGGACTCCCTGAACTCAGGCACTCGGTCATAAAATCCGTGATAATATTACTATTTAAGGTGGGCAGCACTGCTGTGGATAGGGGCTTGTTTACTGGTGTCTCCTGTGTGATGTTCGATAACCCTGCAGAGTGTACTGGAGTAGAAGAACAGATCTGAAGTATATTTCCCTAAGTGACCACAGAGGAAAGGCTTGCTAAGCATCATGGAAATGCAGTTTTCAAAAATCTGCAGTGCCATGATTCATTATAATTATATTTACAGACAAGCAATGTTGCTAGGAAAAGCATATTATTCATTGTTTGTGGACTGAATTACTCATGATGATTAATCATCCTTTGTAGAGGGGATGGGCATGTAAGGGACATGTAAGGGAAGAGGTAATGTTGAAAGGGTCATCAAAAGGAAGACCCTATATGTAGCCACAGTCACAGAATATACAAAGTACTAAATACTCTGCACACAGGTGTTAATGACACTTTTTTTAACAGACCCAAAACTCAGGTTCTTAGTAGTTAAGACACATGTGTGTGAGTGTCTTTACACACACACACACACATATATATATATATATATATATATATATATATACATATATATATATATGCATTGATCCTGAAGAAAGCCACGGACAAGGGCTGAAACGTTGATCTGTTTTTACATGAATATTAAATAAAGGAATTTTACTATGAAAAGTGAGTGCAAGCCGTTTACTATTTACATTTATATTGTGGCTATAGCTGCAAGATGCACCCGGCATTCAAAAGAATATTCAGTGTGCAAGGACTTGTGGAAAGGCTATATGTATATATCTTAACCGAGTCCTCTGATCACTGAACTCTTGTTTCAATGTTTTCATTTATACACTGCTTCATACATAGGAACTATGAACGCTTCTAGAAAACCCTAGAACTTATATGTGTGCACTTGTATGTGTGCACTTGTTTGTGTGTACAAATATCCCAATACATACACATGCACATATGTACAGATTTACTTGTTGCCTTGTAGAAGCTTTTTGTATACAACCTAGATCTATTCAAACAGAATTAGGAGAGAGCTACTTGATTTACATATGTACAGTTTACCATAACTGGCAGCATCTTCAGTTTCACGAAATGGTACCGCTGAACTGTCTTGTATTGGGCCTGCTTAGCTTACTAGAATTGAGTTTTCTCACATTATTAGAAGAGACATTGCTTAGCATGCTACCATACCATCCTACTATGAGACCAAAGCTTGGCAGCTCCGTAGCTTTCCCTGTGTTCCATAAATCCAAAGGCAGATGGGAGAATGTAGGAAGAGCTGGGCATGGTGCCCGAGTGTTTGTTGTATCAGCTCTTACATTACAAAGACTGAAGACTTGCGTAAGATAAGACAGAGAACCAAGGAACACGGAGGTAGAGTCACAGCATAGAAAGCAGTGATTAAATTTAATTGAGTCATAACAGGACATGTTTCTATCTCCTATAACAAAAAAAAAAAAATACTTTAATGTTAGATAGTTTAGTCTAATAATGATTGCTAGTATCCTTACGGGGTACTATGGATTTGTAGTGGGTTTGATGGCTAATTCACCTTCAGTGCTCTCAGCCATGGAATTTGAAAGGAATTTGTCATAATTAATTAAAAATTCTGCATTATCGGGCTGAATGAAGAATGGATTGGCTATCAGTGAGGGGGAGACTACTGTTTTTTTGTCAAACTGTTTCCAGTTGGTTTGACAAAAAAATAAAAATAAAAGCAATAATATAATTCTCGGTGTTGCCATGATTATTACAATGAGCTGCAGTGGTTATAGTGCTTAGACTTCATCTTTAAGGCTAAAAGGCTTGTGTTTGGGTTCTTAAATGGTTACTCCAACCAAAAAACAGTATTTTCATAAAATACTGGCATTGGTTAGAGTAACTCTTGGTCTGCTGATTCGCCCTCTCCACGCTGTTAAAAAAAGAAAAAGTAAAAGAAAGAAAGAATGCTACAGTTTACCGTGATGCACCACCAAGGCCAAGTTCTCCATGTATCTAATCCTCCATGGCTGATGTCACTCCCCCTCACTGGAAGGGAGATCAGGAAGGGAAGGTTGAGTGAAGAACATAGAGGGAGGTCATGTCTGGCATTTCTGCATCAGCCAATTTTGCAAAGGCTTTACATCAGCCACCCAAAACTCTTGTTGGCTAATGATGCCAAATCAGTGAAGTGGTCATGGTGCTTGGAGTAACCCTTTAATAAGAAGTACATTTCCACAGATATGTCCTGATGGCTGTTACTATAGACCCAAGACATTATTTCACACTAATACTTCCAGCCTAAGGTTCCTATAGAGGCCCTCCTAGACAGAACTATACTATAACAACCCAGTAGAGAAAGAGGGATCACCTACCACTACTGCAGCGGCTATATTTAGTATCAGTATATGATCTAGAATTCTCCAACTTAATTCCCAGTAGTATCTACATATCAATAGTAACTATGAGTAAATCCCATGTGGTTATTTCTTCCCTACCTTAATGATAATCTGCATGCCAAGATGGGCATCTGGTAATTATAATATGCCCATTATACAGGTTTTCTTTCTAATAATAAGCATGTTTAAAAAAAAAAAAAAATAATAATAATATTCTATTTTTATATTATGTCTTTTATACATGTTTTCACTTTGTTCCTTATACCTACTGTTATAGTGAATAAGAAGACCGTTTAGGCGTTGCCTCCCACAGCCTAGCTCTAAATATGTCTGACCTGAATTGTATTTATAACTGTCAGCGTTATCAAAATCCATGAGGATAAGAAAAGTCTCCCGTGTGCAAGATTTAGGCCAATCTGCATTTATCTTTATTAAATGACAGAATCTTGAGCGCCAGTTTCCTTTATAGAGAAGCTCTGATGTTTTGATAACTTTGTAGCTATTTTTTTTTTATTATAGGGATATTTTTACATTAAATAGAAAAGTCCAAACACGACATGATGATTATGATAAAATTCTTACAGTCACAACCCAAAGCACTTTGTTTTTAGACAATAATTATGGAAAGCCCATTTCTTTCTGGACAAGGATGCAAGATAAAAATCTTTTTCATTTTTTTAATTTAACTTGTAAAAACCTGATTAGTAAACAGAGCAACACACTAAAGCACGATGCATAAACACGTTCCAAATTAGTTTCTCTCCATAAAACTTGCTTAGAAGTAAATTTTCCATAAAAGCATTCCTTTGGCATCCAGGAAGTCATTGATGTTTGTGACATTTCCAAAAATAGGACCATCCTCCACCCAAAGGAAGATACTGAGTTTCCGGCAAAAACGAAATCCGAGTTAAGTACTGGGTGAGGTTAGCCTGTGATGAATAATTTTAGCATTAAGATGAGCACTTGAAAGGTTACATTTTAAATGTAGTTCCTTCTGTTTGGAGAAGCTACCTTACAACAACCGTACTGCAAATGGCCAATCTAGGATGGCGGTGACTGATTTTGAATGTTTTTAAATAATGACAAACTACATCTATATGCAAAAGTTATAAATTACAGATAATAAAAAATAGAAAAAATGCTCACATTTGCAATGTTTGCTGCAAACTCACAGTCTACAGTAAGCCTTGCCCTAGAACAGTAGTTCACAAACCAGTCCTCCGGCTCCTTTCTCCAGTCCAGGATTCAAGGATTACCCATTTGTGTCTAAGGTGTTTTTAAAATGAAAAAAAAAAAATACACCTTAGACACGACTGGGTAATCCCTAAATCTTGGACTGGTAGGGGTGCATGATGACTGGTATGACAACCACTGTCCTAGACTAAGGCGTTACGCAGCAAATCATGATGGTCACAAGACTTGTGAATGGTGAGAAAATCCAGTTCGACACGCCTTAGACACGCCTGGGTAATCCCTAAATCTTGGACTGGTAGGGGTGCATGAGGACTGGTATGACAACCACTGTCCTAGACTAAGGCGTTACGCAGCAAATCATGATGGTCACAAGACTTGTGAATGGTGAGGAAATCCAGTTCGAACCATTTTTCCTGAAAAGAGAGAATTTTTTTGGGAACCCTTCAATTCGGCACGCTTGGTAGAATTTCATATTCTGAAAACGGATTTCGTAAACAAATCAGACAAACGAAATGGCAGTGAAAATGGGGCAATTATCGCACTGCATAATACAGTATATACATATTATAATGGTATAGATTAATTCCTGTACAGCCGGATTTTCGGAGTTAAAGGGGAATACTTTTATTTTTTAAGATTAATATAAAAGGTAACCAGTACCACTCAGTTTAAATTAATATAATTTATTCCCTGGCAAACATCTGTATATATTACATATTATTTTTGTGTGCTTTTGCTGAGATCTACAGTATTTAAAAGCTGCAGCTGAATTGTGCTAAATTATACATTGTGATACATAATAATTCCTTTTCTGTGTGCCTTAATTTTAAAAGCTTTGACTGTAGGGAATTATTTTTAGAGATCCTGTGCCTCGGGGTGCATGAGTTACAGGGATTGCTGGATTTGAATTCATTATGCCGCACTGATGTGGGCAAGATAGAAGACTGAGCTTCCAGAATTTCTGGAGTAAGTTGGTTTACCAGCAGCAATATATTAATATATTTTGTTTTGCGACATCATCATACACATCAGCATATGGACACCGCATCTGGAATCCGAGACAGCAAAGTCTACATGCAGCATTTCTGCTCTGTTTGGATCCCTGGTGTGAATGTATCCTATAGCTATAACTGGAAATTAACAGATACAATTGAAATACTTAATACATACAAAACACATTGACTCAGATACTATCAATTTGAATATTCACTAATTTAAAAGGCCACTTACTTTTAAAAATAAATCTTGTCTATATTATTCAAAGTCATTAAATTTAAGTAGTTTTGGAATTTTCATTAACCAGATGACACTTTTTAAAATGCACGCTGCTTTCTCCCTTAAGCAACACTTTCTGACTTAAGCTGAAACAGTCTCTCACTGCTCCTGCAGCAACTGAAAAATCTGTGTAGACCAACACCTGCTTACTTTGAGCTTTTCAATGGTGGAGACCAGGATGGGGGGACTTTAAATGTAGAGGAAATACCATAAAGGACACCACATTCTCCTGGATCCCAGGTTGCAACCAGGCCTGAGGTTGGCCAATCCTCACAATGTGATTTTCAGAAAATAAATGATGGTCCAGGCACTCAAAGTAAATCCAGAGTGAGCAGGTTTATTGAAGCAGATAAAAGCAATGTTTCGGCCCACAACAGAGCCTTTGTAAAGCATATGCCAACTGTATATTGATGAGAGCAGTGGCATACCTGTCACAGCTGTGACCAGGCCCGTCACTCCTGGGGGCCTGGACGCAGTTGTGATCCCAGCGACCGTGGGCCAGTTGGCGGGTACAGCCCTTTCACTTGTAAGGGGCCCAGGCCACCTGAAGGCCTGCAAGCCCAGACCCCTTACATGCACTTTTAATCTTCCTCCCCGGGTCTATGCAGAGTTTGGAAGGAGGCTCTCTGCCTTTACCTCCGCGGTTGGCCGAGTCCACTTGATGCCGGTACTCGCGGGAAGAGCCTTCATCCCGCAGAGGTGAAGGCAGAGACCATCTGCAGCACCACAGGACCACCAGGGAATAGGCTGCCCCCTCCCTGGATGCCAGTAGGAAACAGGGAGGGGGAGATATACTAAATAAATTTTTTTTAATTACATTAACAAAATAAATATTAAAAAAATGCTCCCTTTTCAGCCCACACAGCCCCTATCCTACCCAGCAAACACACTCTCACACACAATGCATCCCTACACACTCACACACACACACACACACACACAAGGCATCCCTATAAACACACACACACACTGCATCCCTACACACAGACACACACACAATGTTTCCTTACACACACACTGCATACTGCATCCCTACACACACACAATGCTTCCCTACACACACACACTGCATACTAAATCCCTACACACACACACACACACACACACACAGACACAATGCATTACTACATACATACAATGCATCCCTACATACATATAATGTTTTTTGTTTTTTTTGTTTTTACTGCTCCTACTATTTTTTCCTCTTCTGGTTACGTCTTCTAACTTGTTCTATGAAACAAATGGCAAAAAAATATGCCTATCAATGTATGGGAAAATATAAACATGATAGAGGATATTCAGACAATTCCCATGTGAATGGATATGGGGCTACCAAAACAAATATATATTTTTTTAATAACTGATTTGGCCAAACCATATTTTTCTGCTGTGCACAAGTCTAATATTAACTTATTGTGCTCCAATAGAATGTTAAAACATTTCTCTTCAGCGACACTTGGAATGGTCAAAAGTCTGAAAAGTCTCTCGTAAAGCTGAATACAATGAGTTCCCAGAGTTCCAGACTGATGGGGTTAGAACAGTGTCAGCAGATACGGCACAGCACAGTTTTATTTGTATACCCAACAATGGGCAGCGGACAGCTCATTAAATTAAGCTGTGTTAGGAAGCTGACTGGGCTGGCAGGGTTCCTAATGGGCAGGCTGCCTGTCATAGGTTAAATGAGCATTAGCCTATAGTCTTACGGAAGCTGGCTTCTGAATCAAGCTATTCAACATCATAAATATAATTAATATATATGTTCCTCATGTCTTACAAAAGAGCCATTTGTATCAAAAGGACAGTGGGATGTAACAGTATCCCTGAGGGTAAGAGATAGCTCAATTATCACAGCATTTAACCATGTCTCCACTTCCACTGTTAGACATATCAATGTAAATTAAAAATTAGTTTATATCTGAGCTCTAATTGGATGAACAAATTGCTCATCCCTCATCCTAGGATCTGGTCGGTTGTATTAATTGTTGTAAGGGGTCTGTTTATACAGGGGCCTTTAACACTGTTAATGCTGTGGCAGTGTCCCGCTGGTCTGGGTAGGAAAAGCCACAATTCTCCCCCTCCTTCTCCTGCCCATCCTCCGCCTGTTCCTATGAGCACGTCAGGTACCTGATTATCCTCCAATGCTAAATGGAGCATGGCTTATAACTGAATTTCATGCCTTTTTGAAACAATTGTCTCCTTGTTATTGACTCATCCATCTGAAGAAAATGCCACACGCAGGCCAATGCAGAGAGATGGCTTATAAAAGGCCATCCGCAACTCCTTGCTGATTTCACCTTCCCAGGCCGACTTTGGTTCTTCGCGATATGGTTGTTGATTTTTTGGAAAAAAAAGATTCTGATACACGTTCCTTTCCACAAACTATTTCATTGGTAGCTCAGGATTAATGCTATAAAACAATACCCACAAGAATTTGCTGAACAGAAAAAAAGAATGCACAGAATATTAAAAACAAAAGGATGGGGCCAGCAACACAAAATGTAATTTTGTATAAACATACAGGTTTATATGTTCTACAACAGCTAGGGCTCTGCCCTGGGTCACCTTTACTCTAAATGAAGAGCTATGTTGTGTATCACTGTATTCTCATAGGACTGGAGGAAGGGCCGTCTTTAATAATGGTTGGACACAGGGCAAGCATTTGCTTGGGCCCCCTGGACCCTGCCTCCCCACTCCTTGGCATGCAATCTGTGTGTTACTAACAGACATACTGACACACAGACACGTATACTGACACACACACACACTAACAGGGACCACATACTGACACACACACACACACACACAGACACTAACTGACAGACACACTGACACACACACACATACTGAGAGACCTACTAAAACACACAGACATATACACTGACAAACATACTGACACACACATACACTGACAAGTTGCTGAGGGTCCGCAGGGCAAGAATTTGTTTTTGGAGCGCCTCTAGCACACGGTTGGCCAAAATGTAGATCCCTATCTGTCGTACAAGTCCACAATGCTTTGCTAGCTTGGGATCTATAATCTGCCCATCCTTGCAGGGTTGTATTTAGCACTGAGCAATATGTGTGTGTTTGAATGTAAGCATGTTTTTGTAAGGAGTATGTGTGTGTGAATGTTGGCTTTTGAATGAAGGCGTGCATTTGTGTGTAGTGTTTACACAGACACACACAGCAACAGCCATGCAAATACACAGACACAAAGCTACACACACACTGACACATACACAGAGATACACCAACTGGTACTTGTACATATTGACACACAGATACATACACAGACATCCGTTGGGTGTGATAGGGTTTGGGGAGTAGGTGTGAGAGTAGGTGAGCATGCGACAGTTAGGGAGTGAGAGTGACAGGGTTGGGGGTTTGAATGTGAGTGTTGGGGAATTCTAAGTGATTGTGAGAGGGTGGCGAGTGTAACAGGGTTATTGGTGGTTAGTGTGACAGGGTTAGGGGGGCTAGTGAGACAGGGCAGGGTGGCTAGCGTGACAGGGTAAGGGGGTTAGTGAGACAGGGGTTGGGGAGGCGAGTGAGACAGGACTGGGGGAGGCTAGTGAGACAGGACTGGGGGAGGCTAGTGAGACAGGGCTGGGGGGGCTAGTGAGTTTGAACATGTGGCAAATTAATGTGGACTTGCCAATCTCACACTCCTATTGCACTGAGTTTATTATTGCACAGACAGGCTTAGTATAAAGCAATGTACTCTGTTGCTGTAATATCTCTTCCCCATATCATATTGTAGCACACTGGACATCCATGGAGTTCATTTATAACAGCTGGCCGGGAGATCTTTTGACCACCCAGGAGTAACTGCCCCGTTTGCCCCGCATTAAAGGGAAACTCCAG